TGTTGTATATTTTTTTTAATAGAAAAGGATATATTTTTGACACACTTTGTAAATTAAAAAAGAATTTCTTTGCAAAAATGAAAACTGCTAAAATGAGAATTGCTGAAATTATCAGCCAATTAATATCCCTCTTTGTTGTTTGAACATTAGCTACTTATTCAGTAAAGTCGTCTGTTGCCGTGGGTTTAGACTGCCGTGATACTTATATTGATAATTTTGCTGTTTTGTCAACAAGAATGTGAGGGATGAAAATATGTGTTAAAACAAGTTTATCTGCAGTTGTAACCCACTGTTATTTAGATTTGATGAAACTTCATGCAATTAGAATCAGGAGATACGTAAAAGCCAGCTTTGGGGAGATAAGACTTCCAGTGAGTCATTACTCACAGAATACAAATGACAATGGAAAGAACAGATTACTCGTAACATATACTAATATATATAGTTTCTAAAATCTTGATATAGATTAAATTTTAAATAAATGAGAGTTATGTTTAACTTTGTATGCTAAGGGCCTGTTCCACCACTGTTTGATAAAAGCTTGAAAATGACGTCACTGTCAGATTAGGTAATAAAATCTGATATTTCCATCGTATATTTTATACGTTGAATTGTTATCAGGCAATTTACAATTTAAGTATAATTTAAATAGCTACATATGATTCTGTTTGTTGTAAAATGAAACTCATCTACTCTGAAATAACAAATAAAAAGAAACCCAAAAATACATTACCCTTATAGCTAGACAGATAAAACATTGTAAAAGGAATATGTAGTATCGAAACGTTACATACTGAATAGGAGATAAAATGTATTGTACAGAAAGAATTTTCTAATATTCTCCTAAATGACAACGTAACAGCTGAAGCAAAAAATGTTTAGTATCGTCACGTTACTATTGTTCAAAGGCTTCTCTAAAAGGAAAATAATGTTAGAAAAATCCAACATTATTGTCAATTTCTTTTTTACTTCATTAAAAATATAATAATCGAAAACTTAAAACAGCCAAATAATCGTGTCAAATATTATTTTCAGTTTCATTCCGCAGAAAAATAACTTATATTCAGATTGAAATGAAATTTGCTGTAAAAAAAAGTGTTGCATTCAATTGCAAAATTCTATTACGTTTATTGTATTTTGATTTCAAATTAAAATCAAACAGTTACTAACTGAAGGAGCTATTGTGTTGTTACAAAAGGTATGGTTAAGTGCGGGAGCCACAACACGCTTCGCTACAGTCGAGTGGAAAAGTGGTACTGCACGTTTGTTATTTCAAAACCTTTTCATTTTTACCAGGAAATGGAACAGCATAGGTACATAAATAATTGAATTATGTCATCGTCTGTGTTCAAAGGACATTTTCAACAATAAAACACTTGTGGAAGAAGACATATTTTGTAATTTTAATATACGAGGCTACGGAAAATTCGACTAATATTGCTGACATCCTACATACAAAAAAAGTGTGTATTTAGGTTTTGTTATATTATATACTTCTAGTACACAGTATATATGTAGGCAAAGTCATTACGTTATGCCAGTATTGTATAAAAGGTTACCGGAGTCCAATATTTTAATTCGGAACCACATCATCATTGTTTTGTAAAGCTTTATTGGGAATCAATCATTACGAACACAAAAGACTTTTGTACTTTGATGTTTATTGAAAATTCTTGTATCTAAACACGTTTTATTGTTGGACTCCTGTTATAAAACAATATCAATCATTTTCTTGTTATCGATTGCCTATTCCCGGCAGTGTGCAGATAGAGGCTGATGATGACAATGATGAATTCTTTTCTAAAACAATATAGATATAAAAAGTTTGTCAAATATACAAAAAGACGTTTTGTTTTGGCATCGATACAACGAAACTATTGTGTACTGGAAACTTTGTAGAACTTTCTAGAATAGCCGCGGAGAGGTCCACGCTTTGTAGTTTGATACGACAAAATGTACCAACGATCTTATCAAACTTGTGGGGAGGGCACTGGATGAAACAGAATACCGAGACTCTCAACAACTTGGCCTATGACTAGGTTTCTTGTATTTCTGTGGAAATCCACTAGGATTTCTAAATGCGTGCGCTTGTTTACTTGTTTGTTAAAAGAAAATTTATAAATGAATATATTGCATAAACTTGGCTGTTAAAATTTTCAGTTAACATTTGTAGTCAGAGGTAACTTTATATTGAAGTTTATCCATTTATCATTTCCAATAGCAAAGATATTTTTATCTTCAACATGATCTCTATAATGAGAGGTCAGAGCAAATATACAGATTAATCTTAGTTAAACAGAAAACTGTGCTCTGTTCCTGGAATTAAATTCACATACAATTACCGTAAAGGTTATTCGGTTTATGTCTCCGGATCTTTAAACATTTAATTAAGGAAATTCTTTTTGAGCTACAGCATACAATAATGACTATTTAATTTACTTCAAAACTGTAAAATATACAATTCATCGCTGCTTGGGTAGCTAGAAGATTATGATAATTCTCTGTACTCGTACTTACTTTAAAACAATTTAGTGTTTGTCTTAGTTACATTGGACAATCAAGTCGCCTTAATAATTAGCATTGTTTAAAATATATTCGGAAGAAATATACTATTGAATTATTAGTTAAAGCAACTGTGTTAGATGTTTTATTTGATGAGCGTACTATGTGCCTATTTTCTTTATTCATGGTTTATAAAAAACTGTATCATATGGTCTTTTACTTTAACAAAAACCTTGCAAATATTATAAGAATACCCTACATAAAAGTCCCTTTCGAGTGAATCATGTAGCTCAATTCACTTAGCCCTTCGTAGCAGTCGTAGCTCTTTAGTGTAGCATGATTTATGAGGAAGGATTCGTGAACAAATTGTTTCCTTATCTATCTTGATAAAAGACAAATGGAAGTAGAGAGACTTTAGACTTGTAACCTCGACTCGAATGTTTCTAAACCATTACTTAAATCTATAAATAACGTCATTAGTCCTTGCAATTTTATATGGAATAGCTAATAGATACTTATCCGCATTTTGTTTTTTAGCATTTTAATAGTGGAACTTGCAATAAACATCTGTTGGTTCCGACACGCCCATTGGAACCATTTTGCATAACGAGTATCAAATGGTAATTATATTTGTAATTAGTGTCCTCGATGACACGTAATGAATTTTGGTATTCTATTTCTGTCAACAGAGCTATATTTATATATACGGGGCTGAGGTATTTCTGTCTACTACGTATTGTACAGCTTCTGCTGAAACACTGGCCAGAGTATAATTGTAATCAGGTAGAATAGATTAATTTGTAAAGACAATGAAATTTCACTGTCGTAAATGTCGTTTACCAACGAATTACGTCATTGACTAAAAATAAACACGTTCATAGAAAACGGAAAGTACGATGGCGCGACTCAATCTACTCAAATCCGTTTTATCTCTTAATGTCTCGGCATATTTATAAAGGGTCTGTGAAACCCACGTATATGTCCTTTTTATATTCTCTGCTCTATTTCCTTATGTTCACTTGTTTGGAAAAGAAATCTCAGAACTGTTATCAAAACGATCTTTTTCTCTTCTACGATTTTTTACTATTGTAAGAATTTACTTTAATATATAAAACAAAACAATCTAAAAGTGCTTTATTTAACATTTTAGTTTCACTCTTTCAATCAGTTAATTGAAAGAATGAACTCCTGAGTAATTTCCGTGGAGTTTAATCTTGCAAAAGCATTATTAATAAAACAGAACTGGAAAGTAACAAAGGCAGAAAAATGTTTAAGACGAACTGTGAGTTTTACTATTAAAACCTGAGCTGGAAAATTTTTTTCAAGGATAATGAGGGAAAGGATAATCTAATGTTACATGTTCTTATCTTGATACCAGTGGGAGTAATGGGTCCTAAGGGAGATTTAACTTAAACCTCTTTCGTGCTTAATTACTACCAAATGAACTTGTGTAATTCTTGTGTTGCGTTGTGACTTGTGACGCAGGTGAAATTGTATATTATTTACACAGTATTTTACCTAAGTTCAATTAGTAAATTAAAAATAATAGCAGCTTAATAAGTTTTATAGTTCAATGAAATAAAAATTAATATTTGTGCTACAAGGTTGCGCTTCTAATCTCCAGGTTCTGGTTAGATCCACGCCAAGGAAAATGTGCATTACGAATTTTATACGTTTATTTTACTGTGAAGAAAGGTATTGTAATAAAAATTTGCGAAGAAATTTTAAAATATGTGTGGGCAACAGTGGCCAACAATGTTGTTTACTAAGTATTTCTACATTTCGTGTGAAAAATAATAAATATTTTGGATAAATACCCTAATGTGGGAAAGAGACCATAGTTGTTGCCAACATCAAGAAAGCAAGGTTGCCATGGTTTGACATCATGTCATTTTGTTTTGTCATTTGCAATTGATAATATGACAAATGTGAACAATAAAATGAAATTTTTATAATTTAATACGGATGCACGGGAACAGTTAGTGTATTATAAAAATAAAACAAACATTATGCATGAAGTACTTTTTCATATTAAAAACATTTAAAGCTTTATAATTATTTATTTTAAAAGACATAACTAGTACCATTCCAACAATATTTAAATGTATAAAACTGACTTTTCATTTTTAATTTATACATTCATTTGATTATTTTTCCCTTTACTATCTTCTCTATTTTATAATTTCTTGCATTATGAACATACAAAACTGAAATTTATAACTATTAGTGGTTAACCATTGGACGATGTTCCACCAATATTCATATTAAATTCTCCATATAAAATTTACAATCAAATAGTCTGAACATAAAAATACAAGGCTTTTGAGAATAATAAATAGTGCCTTTTTAAGTTTACTATATCTATTATCAATGGTATTTTACCTTATTTTAAGCTAACAATTTATACTCAATACTATTTTAATGAATTGTCTTAAAATATAAACATAAATCACGCAAACTTATATCTATTATATAGAATAAAATTTATTCTGACATTTGGTTACTCTCAACTATATCTATATTTTGTTCTTAAAAATAATAATTGCGTTTTATTTATTTTAAACATTTAAAAACAAGTCTTTTAAAATTCTAGTAATCAAGCTTCTTTGGTCTCTTTCTCTTGATGGCAGAATGTGCACTCATTTTGATGCATGTATTATATAAAAAAAATAATAAGTCTTATCTGATAAATGCTAAGTCCCATGATAAAGGATTTACAATATACGATAGAACCCGACATACGAGATATCTGTAATTCTTAACTATCGACAACAATTTTAACATAAGTTTTAAATTTAAAATGGTATAATTCGATTTATATATCTCAGTGTTCGGCATAAGGGTTCAGTTGCTTGTTTTAGATCTGGTCCAAACTGTCCTTCAGTATGAGTTCAGACGTATGTAGTTTGAAGTTCAGTATTCGAGCTAGCCCGAGGTGTTGTCGTACAACGGTTCCTTATAAGTTGACCGAAAGTTGTCCGGAACTGGCGTGACATAGAGCAGTACAATATGAAGTTGATGGCTCCATTCAGCAGTGCCAGAGCATCCATCAGTTCTCCGAAAAGATCATAGCATCGCTTGAAGAAGCAACGGCCCAGCGCACCGCTCATTAAACCTGTGGAAGATTTTTACACTGTTAATACATTATTTAGGGTTGTCGCACAATACTTTAATTTTTTATCTACACTAGTATTATAAAGAAGAAAGATTTGTATTTTTGTATGTATTTGATTCACGCAAAAACTATTGAGCTGATTTTAAACATTCTTTTACCATTAGATAGGTAATTTATATGTGAGTAACATAAGCTTTACAAGTATAATATTCAATTTCACGGGGGCGAAGTCGCGAGCAACAGCTCGTTTATTATAAGGAGGCAAACAAGTGAGCGGCTACTTGAATTCGCCGATAAAAATGTGACATTCCCGCGTAGTACAATGGGTAAACACCTCGTGATCTTAGAATAATTGAGTTGCGGCCGGGATTTAAAGAAAGGGTTTTATGTACTTAGTAGAAAAAACATTCCTGTGCCTAGGTACTTAAGGGAATTGAAAATGGAAATCTTTCTTAGAAGTTAAAAATTTATTTATTTACCGCTTAGTTTGAATCTGGTCATGAGAAGTTATTTAATATAAGAAATTATGGTTGATCTGCATTCTTTAACAATGCATGGACTTTTATAAAAGAACTAGCTTTCGCCCCCCACTCCGACCGCGAGAAATGAAAAGAAAAAAAAGCAAGTAGCTTATGTGTTCTTCCAGACTATCCTCTATATCTATGCCAAATTTCATCGAGATCCCTTCAGCCGTTTAGGCTACAAACTCTAACAAACATCCATCCATATAAACTTTCGCATTTATAACATTAGTAAGAATTAGTAAGATTAGTTAGATAAATAGTAAGATATCTGACTATCGTAACTGCGTTTTGCACTAGAAAACATTTGATTTGTTTTATTTTTAACATTACATTTTTTAAAGATACAAAAAATTTTTTTCATACTGACTACCCATTTTCCTATTCCGTAGAAAATTCATCACTACAATACCATAGCATTGACGTAATCGTAAGTTTGTCGCTGACAGCTTGAATGTCATTAGGATTTGTCAATAGAATGAACAAAAGTGACTTGTTATTTTTATATGGTAATAACTACAACTTCGTTTTTTATTACTCTTAGTATTAATTTATAAGTAAGCTAGAACAAGATAATTCTGCATAAAGTGGCACTCACCAAGGATGCCTTGAGGGAATTCAGTCAGTAGAAACAACAACAGCACGGCTACTAACATTTTGGTCGTACGATCCGTTCTCTTCTCAGCTTTGGATCTCTTCGTCAGTTTCCTCGTGAAAACATTACCGTTCGTAACTACCACACTGCTTGCGGGACAAGCATTGTAACCTTTAA